TATTATGATCCAGATTTAGCCATACAGATTACATTCCCTCTAAGAGGAAAATTCGCTCATCCTAGATAGGTACGGTATTGAAATGATTGAGTTCTGATGGGATTTTTTTCGTGTTATCAAGCCCTAGTTGACTGGGTACGTTGGAGTATCTCCAAAAAATTTTGGTAGTAGTACAGCTTTCTGCATGGTCTTATAGAGAAATTCATTAATAATAAGCCTACAATAGTGAAAAAAGACATAAGCACTCATGAATACTCCAGAACTTTCCCAGCCAGAAGTTCTGAACGCCATCTGGTCCAAGGGATTTCCAATTATAAAGCTCTTTAATAATATTTAAAACCTCTTTAGTCGTAAAGGGTTCATAGGGAGTAGTTAATATTATTATTGTTGTTGTTATTCTTGTTATTATTTTTGTTTTCCGTTTTTTGTCACAAATTATCACAAACTATATCCCTTTTTACAGTACTATTTTAGTAACCATATGATTGTTACTATCATTTTAATATTTTATCATTATTTATGTCAAAAATTATAAATTACCCTATTTGCTGAAATTTCTAATTAACTTTGTAAACTTAAGGTTCAGTGTAGTAGGTCTAGCTAGACTTCACCTCGTGTAATTCATGTTTGTAAAATTATACAGAACAAATAAAGGCAATTTATCCAGATTTAACCATACGGCTCACACTCTCTCTAAGGGAAAAATTCACACATCCCAGATACCTACGGTATCAAAAGCATTCCGTGTTATCGAGCCCTGGGTGACTTGATTTGCTGGAGTATCTCCCAAACATTTTCGTACACATCTGAACGTCGCAATGAGTACAGCTTTCTGCATGGCCTTATAAAGATGTTCATTTAGACAGGTTTTTGGGAATAACATTAGAAGTAAATAGAACAATTATATAGGTACTGTCTGGTTACTTTTCATTTTTCATTGTCTCCCGATTAGTATTTCTAGATCTCTATACTTGGCGATCTTTTCGTTGTATTTAACACGCAAATTATTGGTGTTAGGCATTTTATTATTATTATTGTTATTATTATGTATATTGAAACTGAAAATCAAATAGAAAAACAAGTGACGTAGTTTGCATATTAGGCAATACACTGTCTACCTATGGAAAGAGAAGTAAAAGAAGATCAAGTAAATAGAGCAAACGGAGCAGCAGTATACCTGAATGGAATTATATCGAGAAAGACACGAACAATAGAATTTACCGAACAGTCATCAAACCAATAATGACACACGAGCTGACAAAAAAAACAAAAATAGTGCTAGAAGCATCAGAAATGAAAACACTTAAAAACATCGATGGTGGAAGACACTTTGGGACATAGCTAGAAGTACAGAGATACAACGTAGATGCAAAATAGATATAGAATGTAGCTGCAAAGGAGAACATTAAACACTTTAAGGCAAGGGAAGGTAGAGAAAATAAAATGGAACGATCATATAAACCAAATAACAACAAATAAAGTGGTAAAGGCCACGAAAACGATGGAACAAAATTGTTCCATTGTGAAGGCACATTGAAAAACAGAGTCAGGTCTACACAAAAAGAACAATTTTATAGTAAACGCACAACAATCGGGCAATGTACAAAGAGAAGCAAAAATAAGTTGCTGGTATTTTTCTGCTTTTGGTTTACCGGATTTTTTTGTATGTAGAGGAAAGGCTGCAAATATGGGCTGGTCTTGTAATATGTGCTAGGTAGGATTCACAGCTATTCGTTGCAGATCTCTACATTTTGACTATTGCAAACGGTATTTGGCGAATTTAAACTATCACCGTAGCGATGGCGCCACAGTGGTAGACATTTTCCAGTTTATAATAATTGTTTGTCGGTTGGTGTGAGTGTCAAAACTTTTTCGGATAAGTTCATAAGTTCCAGTAATTGAAAATAAACACTAATTTCAAAAAAACGTCTATGTCACGTTGAAGCTCTATAATCAGTCTTTGATATAATGCTAATAAGTTTTCTTCAAATTGACAACTTTTATACATAACCTCTTCTGTTGTGCAAAGCAAGCGTGTTTACAATATGGGCTATGTCCCTGTTTTCATTATGGCCCAGTGGCCCATATTTAGAACAATGTAAAACATACTTCAATTGTTTCAGGATGTCAAAACAACAGCTAAAAGAAGCTAAAAAGAGAAAAAAATGGGACGAGAGAAAAATGGAACGTGCAATTATAGCTGTCAGGCAGCACGAAATGGGTACGCTGAAAGCTGCAAAAATGTTTAATGTCCCACGTATTACTTTGCAACGTTCTGCAAAAAAACTTGATCTAAAGTCAGTTAAAGCTGCTCAAATAAAGTTAGGGCGTAAAGCTGTCTTAGGGAATGATTTTGAGGACGAGTTAGTGCGTTATATTTTGGAAATGGAAGCTAAATTTCATGGATTACTTAGCTTACAGGAACAATATCAAACATCCGTTTGGAGGTAATACGGCAGGCAGAGCCTGGCTGAGGCTTTTCCTGCAACGCCAGAAACAGCTATCAGTACGACGACCAACGGGAACATCATATTCACGAGCAAGAGGCTTTAACAAAGAAAACGTCGTATCCTTTTTCAATGTTCTGGAAACAGAATATGACAAACAATTTTACCCACCTGAATCTATCTTCAATGTGGACGAGACAGATCTTACGGTTGTACAAAACAAGATTGCACAGGTAGTAGGCCGAAAAGGGAAACGACAAATTGCATCATTAACTTCTGCTGAAAGGGGCTCTCTGATAACCGTCGTGACGTCGATGAGCGCTGCTGGCCAGTTCATCCCACCAATGATGATATTTTATATTTTGATACCAATACAAAGCAATATTTTTACAAGATGGTTTCAACATTTCATTGACACAGTGAAACCCAAAAAAAATCACTAATCCTGCTTATTATGGATGGTCATTACAGCCATACACGTAATATAGATGTCATAGATTTAGCTAGAGATCGTCATGTCACTATAATTGTCTTGCCTCCCCATTGCACCCACAAACTGCAGCCATTGGACATTACAGCCCTTACATGGGTGTTCTTAAGGCTTACTACAGCGAAGAGATCTGGGTCTGGTTGCGCCACATTAATCGTCCACTAAGTGAATTTGATGTGTCAGAGGTCTTTGAGAAAGCTTATTTGAAATGCCAAACTTGCCGTTAATGGATTTAGGGCTACAGGGATTTATCCCTTGAATAAAAACATATTTACAGATGTCGATTTCATGGCAGTTGAAATTGAAGCAGAAAATACTGTGACAGCCGCCACCTGATAATGCGAGTGATGAGGATGATAAGGTGATCGTCGTTTCAACCGCTGCTGTCAATTCAAATGAACCTACAAATTCTGACGATAACTCTATCAATTTTGAGAGCACACCAGATTGTCGTTCCAGCCACAATAATTTATCATCTAATTCTCCCACTCTTCCATCTGGGCCTAATAAATAGCTTGAAACTATTCCTACAAGTAACACACAGCTTAATGCTATTTCTGCAACTAGTTCACAGCTTGTCGCTATTCCCACAACAAGATTTTACAGAAAGTCTGCCACGCCTTCCGGAAGACCCTGTGCAGAGCTTGGTGTAAAAAGAAAATTATTTGAGAAAAAGCCCATTTCATCAATTCCTTCCACATCTGGGTCTTCAAGAACATTTCTGACAACAACATAATATGATATTTCTCCTGTGCCATTATTGAAGAAAAAAACCTCCAATCGTGGGCGTTAGCCAAGTAAGTGTTCAGTGATAACCTCTTCACCTTACAAAAATGAACTGATCCAATCTCTCAACAAAGACAAAGGAAAGCAAAACGTAAGCAGGTTATCAAAGTCACAAAGAACCAAAAAAAAGAAATCGGGTTCTAGTAGCGAGGATGAAGAGGAATATGTGCCTGCAGATGATGAGAGCGATTACAATGAGTTTCCTTCTACACAGCCTACACAAGACGCAGGTGACGTAACGTGTATGTTTTGCGAAGCACTTTTTTCAGAGGATAATCTTGGTGAAATATGGGTCAAGTGCTTCATGTACCATTTGTGGGCATATAACGAGTGCGCTGGGGCCGAAAAAGAAGAATATGTGTGTGACTTTTGCAAATAGATTTTCTCCCAGTAAAAAAAGAGACACACACGTCATTGTCTATGAGTTATTTGATATATTGTTTGTATTTTAGATATTAAAATATATTTTTCGCGCATTTATCTCATTTCACACAAATTTAAGACATATTTTTCGGGGTAGCCCATATTTAGGATCATTATTCAAACGACGGAAAAGTACAATTTTTCATTATTTGTGCGTTTAAAACAGTTATATATTTTTTAAATAATTTGAACTTTGGGCAGGTTATAAGTAACTAAATATAGGTATTCTTACGTACCTTTGGAATTGAAATAGAATTTTTATTCTTTTTTTACAAAGAAATACAAAATGGGTAGCCCATATTTGCATATTTTCCTCTATGTCTTTTATCAAAGTTCTTCTTACTTTATAAGATAACTTTCGTACTTCTTATGGAACTTAAAGTCTTAAGAGTAGTAAGGTATTAAATTTTCAGACCAGGCACTCGTCTCTTATTTTAAAAAATATATAAAATTTAAAAACATATTTACAGTTATTAGTTTACAGTAATATCTTTTAGTGTAGGCTCGAGAGATTTTACGCTAATAACAAAGTGTCAGGAAGTAAATCATCGGAATTCCATCCCTTAATCTCATTCAAGATACCGACTTTTTTCTCCTCCACTGGCACCATCTATAATCCTTTAATGATGACACATTACTTATTTATACAGCATTTAATGACAAACTCGGTATATTTATTGCCAGAGATGTTTACAGATTGTCACAGTTATTACATCCTAGTAGACGAACTTTTCAGGAAGGACCGCCCCAACCGGGAGTTTTCAGGGCGGTTCGACTTGAGGTGGGGATAATATTTGGCTCAGCCTACTAACTTAAGTCGCTTTTCTTTCAGTTTTTCAATTTCAGCTTTAATGAAAGCGTACGAAGTTTTCCCGAAGATAGTAGAATTACTGTAAATACGATCAGTGTTTGTGATATTTGTTTGTGTATTAAGTGAATAAGAAAAGCATATATTACAGCAGGAACTATTGGTATGTATATTTTTGAATCGATTAAATGTAGCTTTTTTAGTAAAAATATAACAGAAAGGTAGAACATGATTATTGATAAATGCTCCAAAGTGTCAAGTCTACATTTTGAAAATCACATTTTCAATTCTTTTAAAATTTTGAGTGTTTTTTTAGTTATTATTTTTATTAAAAAATTTATAATAATATTTATACAAAATATATACAGGGTGCGTCAGATAAACAGCGTCTTAAAAATATCTCAAGTGAATATCTCGTGAAAATTGGAATGAAGGAATTTTAAAGAGTCACCTATTTATTGAAAATATTTTCATTTATTTTTTACTTTCGGTTATACCAGAAACTGCTTATAAATTAGTTTTTTTTAATAGGACACCCTGCATATTTTATTATTTTTTAAATACTCACCCTATTTTGAACAGTTTTTGTTAATACTTTCCTGTATCTATTGTGAACTGTTTATGAGTTATAATAGTTCTTATATGATAGTTACACTTTTCTACCATATACAGGGTGTTTCAAAAAGGTATGTCATAAATTAAATTACGCATTCCGGGGACAAAAATAAATTGGGACGATTTTCACATTTGGTCCCATTGAAGATAGCCTCAAATTAGCTGTTAAATTTCACAGAACGAAATATTGCGTTGGCAGTGTTGCCATGTTATTATAATGTATATATTATGCTTCAAATACAAAGAGATAAAGCTTTAAAAGGTACATTTTTATCATATTATTTTATGGATTCTGCAATTTTATACCTTATATAAAATATTAATCAAGTAATATTTCTTTCGTTTGATATTATTTGTAATAAATTATCAGAAAATGTTTTTGGCAATTGCCCTTTGGTAGGTTAGCGGATAGATTTGGCAATAGAGTCAGAACCCTCAAACCACCAGCTGCCAGATTGCAACAGATGCCTTTTAAATTTTATTATTTATACTGACATTTTACTATTTACTGTTAAAAACTGTTTTAAAACTATTTCTTTTTTCTTTTTTTTTTTTCGTAATCGTTAAATATTAGTTTTTAAATATCTTATTGCTTTTAATTGCGTATGTTTCGTTTGTAATGTAAATTTCAACACTGCGAAACACTAATATTTCACTCTGTCAAACCCATTTGAAGCTATCTTCAATGGGACCAAATGTGAAAATCGTCCAATAAATTGATTGGATCCAACTTAACTTAGTACAAAAATCTACACAAAAAAGTTACAGCCCTTTGACGTTAGAAAATAAAAATTGTTTTTTTTTAATTATCTCCTAAACTACTTTACATTTTGTAATAAAAATGTACACGTTACTTTCTTGTTCTGAAAGCATTTTTCATTGAAAAGAAACAACAAAATTTAAGCGCACAGAAAAATTTTAAGTGGGATGTGCAGCCTCAAATCCCCCCAAACGTTTGAGTACGATCAAATCAAGTTAATTTTGTGGCATCATTTGAGGAACGCATTATTTTTAAAATTTTTTTGCCTCCTATCACTTTTTTCAAAAAACAGTTTTTATTGAGTTACGGTCCTTTTCATTAACCTTTAAAAAATTACGTACAACTAAATAGATGGCTTAAATGAATTAACAAGTACAAAAAATGTCTATAACCTTTATAAATATGATATTACAATAAATGTTCAAAATGACCACCATTTTCTTCAAGACACATTCGGTATCGTTTTAATAAGGAAAACCAAATGCGTTGAAAAATTAATATTTTTCAACGAAATTGATTTGCAGCTTCAATTATTCTAACCGACAATTGTTTTTCGTCCTCGTTTTCTTTCATACACCCTCCAAAATCAAAGTTCATGGGTTTAAAACCTGGACTTCTGGGTGGCCAAGAAATAGATGCGTCACGACCCCTTCCAATTCACCGACCAGCATACTGCCTGCAAAGATTTTCCCGGACTTCATTACTGTAATGCGGTGGAGTGCCATCTTGTAGAAACCATATATTTTGCCTTATTGCAATAGTTACTTCTTTCAAATACGCTTGTAAATCGTTTGACAAGAACTGCAAATAATTATCACCATTTAAATTCTTGGAAAGAAATACTGGGCCTATTAGATTGTTATCCACAATTCCTGCCCAAACATTAACTTTGAAAGTCCTTTAGTGATGAGTCGTTTTTTTGACGTGAGGATTTTCGTCGGCCCAAATGTGCTCGTTATGATGGATTGTTATTTTATTTCTACTAAAGGTAGCCTCGTTGGCAAACAAAATGTTTCTAATAAAATTAACATTTCGAGTGTTTTCCATTAACAACCAATCGCAAAATCCAATCCTTTTATAATAATCTTCAACCAATTACTCTTGAACCGTTGTTAAGTAATAGGGTTTAAGCAACTAATCCTTCAAACGCCTCCAAACCCTTACGTGAGGAACATTTAGTTAAGACAGAAAATAGGTATTTTTTTTAATATAATAATGGACAAAATAATACAAGCAGTACGTAAAGGTTATGGCTACAGAATGGGGAACAAAGAAATCCCAATATTATGTTATGCAGACGACGCCGCATTAATCGCCGAAACAGAAGACGTTCTCCACAGATTAATACATATCTTCAATACAACAGCTAAGAAATACAATATGATAATACCAGCAGAAAAAACCAAATGTATGAAAACATCTTAATACCCACTACGGTGTAAAATCGAAATTAATGGGAAAATAATAAAACAGAAAGCAAGGTTTAGATATCTGGGAATAGATATAACTAGTTACGGAGATGTTGAAGAAGAAGTACGACAACAAAGCTTAAAAGCAAATAAAGCGGCGGGTTCTCTTAATGACGCATTATGGAAGAAGAAACACCTAAGACGAGACAAAAAAACAAGAATCTATAAAGCAGCAATTCTTCTTCTTCTTCTTCTTAGCCTTATGTCGTCCATGTTTGGACATAGGCCTCTCCCAAATCCTTTCATCGGTCTCTATCCTGAGCAACATATTTCCAATTTGTTCCAGCTATTCTTCTAATGACATCAACCCATCTCATCTGTGGTCTTCCTCTTGGTCGTTTACTTTCGTAAGGTCTCCAATGTTGTATTGTAGTAATCTAACGTTAGTCTTTCTGTCTAGCAGTGTGGCTTGAGATGCTCCATTTAAGTTTTGCAATTTTTATTGTTATGTCCTCGACTTTTGTTTTGGATCTTACCCAGTCGTTCCTCTTTTTATCTGACAGTCGTATACCTAACATTGCTCTTTCCATTGTTCTTTCTGTTGTGGCTAGTTTATTCATGTTTGCCTTGGTTATTGTCCAGGTTTGACATCCATATGTCATAATAGGACGGATGCATTGGTTGAACACTTTGCTCCTCAAGTATTGGGGTTTTTGCGGTTCTTAAGTATCCAACTAAGTTTTCCAAATCCTGCCCATGCTAGTCTTGCTCTTCTAGTAATTTCCGCACTTTGGTTCTCTTTGTCAAGTCTCAGGATTTGGCCTAGGTTGATATATTCCCGGATTTGTTCTATCTCACTGCCGTTTATAGTTATATGTGTGGGGTCTTCTGTGTTTGTCATTATTTTTGTTTTTTTCATATTCATTTTTAGGCCGGCGTATTGGGAGCTGGCTGCTAGTTCCCCCAACATAATTTGCAGTTCCTCGAATGTGCTCGCTATAATCACTATGTCGTCAGCGAATCTGAGGTGGTTTAACTTTGCCAATTGGTGGTTGCCATTAACGTTAATGCCATAGGTTGACCAATTTGTAGTTTTGAAGACGTCTTATTCGTAGATATTACGTCTCCTTGTCTCACTCCTCTCTTAAAGGGGATGGGATTTGTATTTTCGTCTAGTTGTACTATTATAGTTGCATTTTCATATATATTATGTATTAGTTGCCTATATCTCGAGTCTATTCTACAATTATTACTAGCTTGTGCTATGGCCCACATCTCGATACTATCAAACGCCTTTTCATAGTCGACGAAGGCAAGAAATACGGGTAGTTGGTATTCATTTGCCTTCTCTATCAATGTTCTCATTGTCAGCAGATGGTCTGATGTACTATATCCTTTGCGGAAGCCAGCCTGTTCAACCGGTTGGTAATTATCCATTTTGTAGGTTAACCGGTTATTAATAATTCTCATAAATAGTTTATATACTTGACTGAGCAACGATATAGGTCTATAATTCTGTAGATCACATTTGTCCCCTTTTTTTGTGTAAGAGTGTTACTAGACTCTCGTTCCAGGTTTTAGGGATCTGGCTATTATGGAGACATCTATTAAATAGCTCTGTTAGTACAGGGATTGTTAATGTCTTGCTTGTTTTCAAGAGCTCGGCAATTATACCGTCGTGTCCTGGAGCTTTATTATTTTTTAGTTCTTTTAAAGCTCTTTCTATTTCGTATCCATTTATATTTGGTAGTACTTCTGATCCCACGTTTTTTATTTTTCTTTTGACGTTCTCCTTTGTTGTTTCATTAGGCTGGCCTTGCAAGCTGTACAAGGATGTGTAGAAGTCTTCGACAATATTTGTTATTTTATATTTGTCATTCTCTACCTTATTGTTAGCGTTTTTAATTTTGATGATTTTTTGAACTCCCAGTGCGGGTCTTAGACATTTTAAGCCTCTGTTGTTTTCAATGACTCGCTCTATTAAGTTCTCGTTCTATTTTTGTATGTCGCGTTTTAATTCTTTTCTAATTGTTTTATTAAGTTCTCTATATTCTTGAGTATGGCGTTTGTTTTGCGCTAGTAGTTGTCTTCTTTCCGTCATTAGCTGTTTAGTTTCATTGCTTATTTTGTCTTCTTTAGTCCTTGTTTTCTTTGCGACCTGTAGTCATGCTGCGAGAAGGTTTTTATTTAGGTTTTTATTAATCTCGTCAATTTGATCTTGATTATGTGAAGGATCAGATTGGAACTTATCCGCTAAGACCTCTCAGAATTGCTCTTCATTTGTTTTTAGTTTAAAAACATCTATCCTCGTTGCTTTTTTCAAAATTGTTTTTCTCTCTTCTTTCATTTTAATTTTTATTTTTGCTCTGACTATACGAT